GGTTTTCTCCTGATGCCCCTGGTCTGCTGGAGATGGTCCCCAGCAGACCAGGGGCACCGGGAGCAGCTTTTCTCGCCCCGGAGCTCGAGGTGGCTGACCGCTGCCTGTGAGCTCCGGGGCGAGAAAGCCCCGTTCGTAAGTGCGGATCCGACATAAGTCGGATCCGCGTAAGTCGGGGACTGCCTGTATTTTGAAGGTGGAATAAACAAACTTGAATTTCTCTAAAATATTAATATTTTTGTTATAGCTAATTTTGGAGTTGCTCTTATCATTCTTTTATGCATGGAAGAATTAAAGTCACTCTTCTGAAACAGAAGATATTTCATCAACAAATGAAAAGCCATGAATTTCTGGGCAACTGTATCTCTCTTTTAAATGTTCTGTGGAGAGCTCCAAGCAGAGTAACATAGAATCACAGAACTGGATGGGACCCAAAGAGGTCCCTTACAGCAGGACCAAGAACTATCTAGAGTCTAAACTGGTGTGGGGAATCTTTTTTGGGTCGGGGACCACTGACCCACAGAAAAATCAGTCAGAGGCTGCACACAAAACCCCCTCACTGACATGGCCCCCAACTGAGAAGGAGAAAGACACTTCCCACATTCCCCTTGCATAGCAGAGCCTGTGGGGAGAGGGGGGACCAGGCTATCTGAAAACTGTAGGTACTGGGGGTATTTATATTTTTTTAAAGGGGTACTTTATAAAAAAAGGTTGAGAAACACTGGTTTAGAGCATCCTTGATAGACATCTATCTAACCTGAGAGACATGCCAAAACTCAGGACTGAGCCAGGGACCTTTAGATTGTCAATCTGACACTGGCCCAACTGAGCTACTTTGGCTTCTGTAACACCTGTGTGATTAAAACTTTTGGGGTAATATTGTAAGGCATGGCTCTGAAGAACAAGTGATTTTAACCACTCCAGTCTCTCAGAATTATATCACTTGGTGTGCTCCATTGCTATTAGGATATGAAATCCAGGTATAAAACTGAAGCACAGAGATAAAATGACCATGTACTAAGCATTATAGTTATGCCCTGACAGCCAAGTTGAAATCTCTGATACCAGAGTTATAAAGCCAACACCCGATATTAAATATAACATGTGTGACTCACTTACCTAACTAATTTCTCCTTATAAGTAACACTGGTCTGTGATGGGGTCAGTGTTACATTACCGTCGTCGTCAGACAGAAAACTGTCTTCCGTCAAAATATAATAGCCGTTAGTAAGAAGCCGAGGACTGCGGCGACATGTGAAAAATGAGCCCGTCAAAGGGTTTATGGAACAACATTCATACGAGGTGTCACGACTCAGAAAGGCATAAGAGTAACTGAAAAGGAAAGAAATAAAACCCTCTAAGTTATTGTACAATTCTCTTTAACACAGGAGCAAAAATGTTAAAAATGAATGATAATATTTTTAGATGTACACATCACTTTTCATTTTAATAGCTCCCAGAATATAGCTATATAAAGTGTAAATTAGAGCAGGGGTGGGGAACCTAAGGCTCAGGGGCCAGATGTGGCCTCCGGCTTGCCTAGATCCGACCCCTGAGGTTCAGGGCTCCCCCCACAACATTGGGGGGCCCATGCTGGTGCTCCCGCCCACCCTCCCGCTGCCCCACTGTGGGGCTGGAGCATACAAAATCTACTAGCCTAGCCCCCCCTAGGTTTTGGTGTGCGAGGGGAATGTGGAGAGAGTCTTTCTCCTTCTCAGTTGGGGGGCCATATCAGTGAGTGTTTGTGAGAGGGGGTTCTGTTTCTCACTTGTGTGCAGCCCCTAACTGATTTTTCTGTGGGTCAGCAGTTCCCAACACAATAAATGTTCCCCACCCCTGAGGACAGCCAGCCATGATTACTAAGGAGGCCCACCTGAGCAAGGCTCACCTAATTCCTTATAAAGGGCAATGGGGAGCTTCAGAGAAAGGACCATGCTCAGGGAGAAACAGACAGAGGGAGGAAGCTGCAGGAAGTGAGTCCCTTCTCCAGCTGGGGTCACTGGAAGACAGGGTTGGGTAGAAAGCCCTGACTGGAAGTTTTGTTTTCTCTTGGGAAGAAAGCAAAGAAGACAGGCTAGGCCTTCTCCAGCTGCCCAGAGAGAAGAAAGACATAGCTCTCAGAAGAAGGGGTTGTTCCCTGCTTAAGACTGGGATTGTCTGTTTATTTGTGAACTTCTTGTGAATAAAATCAGAGCCTAAGGCAGGTTGTTGTTATTGGATTCATGAAAGCCTGTGTGGAGTTTGTCTAAGAAGCCCTTTGAAGGGGGAAACTGAGGCAAGGGGCTGTTTGTAGGGCTACCCTGTGGCCACAATAATAGAGGAGGCCATTCGCTGACAAGCTGTAACAAAATGATATACAAACTATACACAGAGATCACTTCTCCCACCACTGAAATGCAACTATTTCTGGAGTGAAATGTAACACTGTTGAATAACACACCACACTAGGCAAGTATTTAAGACAGAAGTGAGCTACTTTTCCTACTGGAATACAAGAGGACTGTTAGGTAGGCATAAAGCATGTTTCTGTTTTTGGAATTGGACCCCAATCCTGTGAGGTGCTGAGTACCCACAATCCTTACAGACTACATTAGGCTTTGAGGGTGCTCAGCACTTTGCAGGATCAGGCATTAACCCTAATCTATGTTTGGCTATGTCTACACTACAGAGTTTATTCAGAAAAATGTCGTTTTTTCATAAAAACCTTGATTTACGTCCACACTGCAGTCACGTTCTTAAAAAATAAATCAAAAGAACAGAGGGTTTTTTCTGACTTTGGTAAAACTCTTTCTATAAGGAACAAGACTTTTTCCGAAAGAGCTCTTTTGGAAAAAGGAATGTGTAGACGGGGAAGAGGGAGCTCTTTCGAAAGAAGAGGAAAGAGGAAAAAGCACAGGTGCCCTGGTGGCCACTCCGTCGATAGTAATCACAGCTTAAATGTGAGATAGTGTCCATTCAGTGTGTGCACTGTCTTTCAAAAAAGCAGATCGCTTTTTCAATGCACTTTTGCTGTGTAGACACTCTTTTGGAATAATTTTTTTGGATTATCTCTTCTGGAAAAGCTTCTTCCGAAAGAAGCCTGCAGTCTAGACATAGCCTTTGTCATTATTAATAGAAGCAGGTAGAGATCTTTCAGCAAACAAACTGCCCTCAAAGATGGTGGGAAACTCATCAAGTTATTGAAAACTGGAAAAAGATGTGTAATAGATAATTGTACAAAGATCTCTACCATGGACAGGAGATAACAGTATTGCAATGCACAGACTTAGTCTACGTCTACACTGCAGAGCTTCTGTGCAAAACCTTGCAGAACATCCACACTAAAAGCGCATTCTTGCACAAGAAAAAGTACAGTAAATCATAAAAACACAGGGCTTTTTGTGCAAGAGTTATTCCTCCTTCTATGAAGAATAAGCCTTTTTGCGCAAGAGCTCTTGCACAAAAAGGCATGTATGGACAGGCAACGGGTTTCTTGCGCAAGAAACCCCTATGGCTAAAATGACCATCAGAGCTTTCTTGTGCAAGAGAGTGTCCACACTGCCATGGACGCTCTTGTGCAAAAGCATATCTCTTGCACAAAAGCACATGGCAGTGTGGATGTGCTCTTGTACAAGAAGCCCGCAATGTAGACATAGCCTAGGAGTGGACATTTTTGCTAATCTCCTAGAACTGGAAGGGACCTTGAAAGGTCATCAAGTCCAGTCCCCTGCCTTCACAGCAGGACCACGTACCATCCCTGACAAATTTTTGCCCCAAATGGCCTCCACAAGGATTGAACTCACAACCCTGGGTTTAGCAGGCCAATGCTCAAACCACTGAGCTATCTCTCCCCACCTTGCCCTTTGTTGTACATAATTTGAAATGAACAATTGTTATCAGCGGTATGCTACAGATACTCCATGGGGATTCTGCTTTAGTTCAAGTGGTTGAGGCCTGTGCTTTTCAAGCAGGAGTATGAATTCTATGCCAAATGCAGCTTTAAAGTTTCAAGTGGCCATAGATTGCAGCATAGTGATATTTATGAGATGCAATGTGACTATGCTTTAGTGTATGAATAGCACCGTAATTAGAAATTGTTTAAATCAAAATTATAGAAATTATTTTCAAACACAAAGGAAAAATAAAATGAAATAAAGAATAGTGTTACTTCATACCTTGGCAAAATGTGTTCAGGGGACAGACTTGGCTTGGGCTCTTTATCAGACACCGAGGAACCTGTTGAGACAAAGACCAGATAGAGAGAAGTCCCATCACAGACTCATTACATAGGCATTCCAAGCGATAGTTATACCCACTAAATGGTTTTCATTTAAATTGAAAGATGCAAAAAGGAGGAGAAAATTAGGAAAAGACAAACTAAAGGAAAGAAAACAGAGTGATGATGGATAGATAAAAAGAAACATCATATAATTTAGACTTGTACAGCATCATCCCCAGAAGAGTAGCACAAATCAAAGCTGATTACAGTCAATAATCCAAGTATGAATGTACTACACATTTTAATATCCTGTGGGAAGTAAATACAGGCACATACAAGGGAATATGTCCAGCACTTTTAATGGCATCTTTCTAAAGTTTTCACACTTCATGAACAACTCACTTACTTGATTCTACAGGTTGAATCTCTCTAGCCTGGCACTCTCTGTTTCGGTAGCATCCGTGGTCCAGCATGATTTTAGTTAGCCACATGTCCACTTATTGATGTGGCCAAGTTTCCCACAATTCCAAAAGGTTTGTTTACAGCCACCAAACCTGGCTATTAATATTCTGCTGATATTTAGCTCAAATTTACCCCAAATGTCTTTCAACAGTCCTGTAAGCAGTAGAAGTGTTGGTAATGCTGCTAGCCAATATTGACCTCCTGTGGTTCAGAAAATTCTCTGGCTCAGCACTGCTCAGGTCCTGAGGATGCTGGACTAGAGAGGTTCAGGCTGTACCAGCAGGGCTCAGGTTCTCCTGTATCAATTACATGGTCTCATTAAAGGGCTAAACCATTACCATTCTAATGTATCAAGCAAAAAGGCATCTGCAGATGTGGCACAGCAGGAGCAGCTCTGGCAACAATGGCAAAAATTTGAGGATAATGGCTGATTACAGGATTCTGAGAACATCTAGGAAGTTGGATTTCGATGTTTTGTCAAGGCTCAAACCTGCAACGTCCTTGTTCAGTGTCGCAAGGGTCAGGTAATTAAGAGGTCTGAGTCTGTAATGGGGTTTACAAACGCCTCACAACAGCCAAGACAGGGAAAAGGCTGGAGCAATATTGGGCTAGGAGAGCTCTGTCCATCTTGTACTGCCAAGCATAGAGTAAAAAAAATTTCAGCAGCCGAGGGAGTGGAGAGGTGAAAAGTCATTTCCAGGAGCTTTGACCTAAGACAGAAGGAGAAGGAGCACCTGCTGAGGAGCTCCAGCTGTGAGTCTTTTTACCCCTCCTAGGAGGCATCACTCCAGAGATAGGGATAATTGTGTGCAGTGGCAAACTCTGGGGTTTGGAGCATAGGACTAGAATCAAACAGCAGCCTAGAACCAAACACTTTGGGTAGGAAGTTATCCAGGGGAAGATCAGGAGGTGGGAGGCCCGCCCATACTATCATACTTTGAAGGTCCTGGTGGAGCAAGAGGACGTGAATCCCCCAAACACCTCAGATTCCCTATGCCTATATAATCCACACACTTAATGGGTATAGTGTACTAGTCCACTTAGTAGCACTTAGACCGCTTACAGAGAAGCAGAGTGGCTGTGTCTAGACTGCATCCCTTTTCCGTAAAAGGGATGCAAATTAGACACATCGCAATTGCAAATGAAGCGGGGATTTAAATTCCTCCCCTCCCCCCCCGCTTCATTTGCATAAACATGACTGCCGCTTTTTTCCTGCTCAGAGCTTTGCCGGCAAAAAGCGCCAGTCTAGACGGGGATCTTTGGGCAAATAAAGCCTTTTCCGAAAGATCCCTTATTCCTTTTTTAAAGAGGCATAAGGGATCTTTCAGAAAAGGCTTTATTTTCCTAAAGATCCCCGTCTAGACTGGAGCCTTTTGCCGGCAAAGCTCCGAGCTGGAAAAAAGCGGCAGCCGTGTTTATGCAAATGAAGTGGGGGGGATTTAAATCCCCGATTCATTTGCAATTGCAATGTGTCTAATTTGCATCCCTTTTATGGAAAGGGATGCAGTCTAGACACAGCCAGTGAGTGTGGTCTACAGCCGTAGCCGAGAGCCAGCTGGCTTTTAGCTCAAGCTGTAGAGGCTCATACACTAAGTGCCAGAGGTCCCTGGTTAGGTTCCACCTGTCAGTGTTACGCCTATTCCTGGGATGAGCAGGAATAGGGGGTTACAGACCAGAAGTCTTGCCCACCTGAGCCCAATTAAGAACATCCCCAAAACATAGGTCTAGAGATGGGAGTGGGGCTCATGGATGTGTGAAGAATGGAGAGGGACATTTGGGGGGGGGAAAGGCACCTGGACAAGGCTCTTGTTAGGAGTGCAACCACATTGAATGGCAATTATCAGCCTATCACTTATCTGTTTGCATGGAATAGTGTTTTCCATCTTTATACAATTTTACACACTACAGAATTGCATTTTACATGCATAAGTGACTGCACCAATATTCTCTTCTTTATAATTTTATAGAGAAAGCCTGCAAAATCTTTACTTTTCAATCAATGGGGAAATATTATATTCAAAAGAAGAAGTTCATATTCACATTAGAAGGCATTCTCTGATGTGTAAGGACATAATCCCTGACAGTTGGCTAGTAGATTCCAGTATAAACCCCAAATGACAAAATCCCAGTTCAGAAAGACCAAAGAAATGTTTGCACATTTACTTGCTGCTTGTGTTGACATTAGGTGGGAGATTCGATACATCTTGAACAGGCCTGTCTGGAGCTACATGCCTCACAGATTATCTGCAAGAGATTTTAAAGGAAAGTTAATATTTATTGAAAACGGAGAGTGGGGGGGCATAATCAGGAATGGACATTACATTACTAATTATGTTGTATTCCATGAAATGTGAGTCTGATCCTGCCATTCTTTCAGGCAGATAGCTCATAGATTTCAAGAGTACATGTCTTTGAATAGAGCCTGCAGGCCCAGGCCCAAACTTGATTTGGTCAGTCTTAGACCCTTTGCAATCTGCAACTGTGATCTCTTCCCTAATACTTAAATCCATGATGTACAGCAGAAATGGGGAATCTTTTCTGGGCTGGGGGCCACTGAACCACAGAAAAATCAGTCAGGGTTCACACACAAGTGAAAAAAAAACCCCTCACTGACTTGGCCCCCAACTGAAGAGAAAGACGAAAGACACTTACCACATTCCCCTTGCCCACCAGAGCCTAGGGGGTCCAGCCTAATAGATTTAGTGTGCTTCAGCCCTGCAGTGAAGCAGCAGGGGGGCTGGAGCAACAGCGCAGGCTCCTCAATGCTAGGGGGGCTTTAAACCTTGGGGGCCAGACTCAGGCAAGCCAGGGGCCACGCCCGACCCCCAGGCCTGAGGTTTCCCACCCCTGATGTACAGCAACATTCCCTGTAAACTGAGCACTTTGGCAGTCACCCAGGAGAGATAAAAATTCCACCCATCTGATTTGCAGAGAGCCCACAGTGTCCACAACTGCAACATAAATTAATACTGGTGGTGCACATCCACACATGCCTTGGTGTACATAAAACTTATTCCACACATGGATGGAAAAAATAGAGGGAACTTTGATGTACAGTATAGATAGACTTACAAATGTCCTATGTGCACTAAAGCACTTTCTTTATTTTCTCAATTATATGCTTTTGCATCACTGTTATGTCAAATAAAATGAGAAAGTTTATATATAATATCTTACATGTGTCTAATGCCTTGCTTTAGAAAAAATCACAATGTACTTTATAAAGTGGTATAAAATCTATGGCATCTACCCTGTAAACCCTTAGGCCTGTGAGTAATTTATGAATATGAGTAGTTTCAATAAAATTACTCATGTGACTATGGTTATATGTAGGTATCACATCACCCACCTCTGAGATCCAGGACAACTTGAGAGGAAACATAGGTGTTGAACAGCTGGCAGCAAATCCCTTTAGGATACGATGTGAGGGAGATGCAGGATACAGATTAGTGGAAATGTGATGTATTTCTCCCATTTATACACATCTTCATGAACAGTTTAGGAGTATTTGTGATTTCTGTGCTATGATTTTAAACAGAATTGAATCCCCAAGGTCTTGAAAACATTGGAGAAAATATGTGCATTTCATTTTGCAGACAGCACTTTATACAGTCTCGCTTTTATTTATTGTTAGGCTTGAAAGGATTAGATTTTTATCTGTGAATATCAGTAAACACTGACTTTACTGTAATGCATGCTAATGAAAAAATATTTTCATTGATAAAAAGCCAAATTTACAGATAGGCGAAGTAAGAAATATGCTGCTTGAGAACTGATTAGCATATGACTTCAGGATGTTTACTTTGTATATTTCCTGATGTTGATATTTTGTGTTTTAATGGTTATAAAGCTTTATTTTATTGAATCTCACAGTCTACTATCAAGTAAATAATTATCTGCCCCCCCATGGTGTGAGTCCCCCTATAATTTCTCACAACTGAACATTTAAATAATAGAAAAAACACTTTAAAGCATAATTTCATGCAACTGAAAATGTAAATAGACAAAAATTCTAACAAATGCTTAAAATAAATACTTGTATGATGTGTAGTTGTAGTCATGCTAGTTCCAGGATATTAGTGAGACAAGGCATGTGAAATGGTATCTTTTATGAGACCATCTTCTGTTTGGTCTGTTTTATTGGACCAAGCTTGTTTCTCTCACCAAAAGAAGTTGGTCCAATAAAAGATACAAACTCACCCACCTTGCCTGTAAAATAAAAATTAATGTTATTCCCTAAAAAAAAATCAAATTCTGCCAAGTAACTATTCATGACTGTGCTCTTCTAGTACAGTTTCCTAAACTATTGTAACAATGTAACTAAATCAGAACAAAGCATATCAATTGCCTCTTTGCAATTACTTTAATTAATACTTAATAGTAAGTAATATTTGTGACCCATGGCATGTTAAAATGAGGCCTGAAGTTCAACAAAAATATTTTAAAAATATACATGACAAAGGCAAAATATGATCAAACAACCTAACAGAGAATGAAACAAAGCTATAGGCAAGGCAGTAACATTTTATGGCAATCCTCTGAAGAAGTGGGTTGTGCCCTCGAAAGCTCATGATACCATGTTTTGTTAGTCTTTAAGGTGCTACTAGTCTATTTGTTATTCAAATAAAAGTTTGAGTCTACAACACTGCCTAGTTCTGAAATTAAAATCACTAAAATGTAAGCATGAAAGCTTCTTTCTACTCAGAATGTACATAAATGAGCACAGTCCAAAACAATTTACTGTAATCACTTTCCTTGGTGATACTCAAACTGGTCCTTAAAGCAATGAGTCCCTCAAATGGTAGCTAGCCAATACCTTACACATGTTGCACTGTACACGATAAATATTTACCTCAGTACATAACAAAACCCATCATTAGCAGTTAAATTATTTAAGCCCAAGTATTTAACCCTATTCAGATAACAAATATTACTCTCTTATCTTTTGAAATACAATAATGTCTATGAGAAATAATTGTATTCATACATGTCACTTCTTGAAGGGTATTTTAGTCTCTTATCTTTGCTGGTAGTGATGAAAGCATTCAAAGAAACATAAAGCTTCCTAAAAAGTTGATTGGAATGGAGAAATCCAGGGCTTAGTTATTCCTCTGTTGATCAAAGTAATAAAACATCATCATGTGTGAAATCTTCCAAACCTGGAAAAGCCATTTCACAATTAACAAACTTATGCAAGAAATTTTTCATCAAGAGAGTCAGAAATCAAAAATGCAAGTGTAGATTGCTCCTTATGCAGCTTCCTGGAACAGAATAGCTCCGAGAGTTCTTCGAAAAGGCAGGTCTATAAAGCCCCTTGTTTCCTTTTGAAAACAGACTGTGCAATCAGAAGTAAAGAGGCAGAATGAGGTCATTCTTCCTGTTAAGTAGCCTCACATCATTTTGAAGAGTAAATTGAAGATTAAGATTAGGCAAGAGAACAACCCTGCAGGGGGTTGCCAAAAGCAAGATATGCCAGCTTTAAATAACAGTCTAGTGTGTATTTATATCAGGGGGCACAAAACCAGCACCTTGTCTGTGATGCTTTTAAAAACAACTGATGGAACTTCGTAGCATATCTTTTACTTATAAATCTGATACAGCTATGAGTCAGTATACTTTACAGTCAGTATACTTAGCGTACCACTAATGTTGTGAGATGTTAAGGCTTTGATTGCATCACTATGTCTAAAATAATCCTATCTTAATTCTTCCCCCACCAAAATCTCTGAATGTTAACAAAATCCATCCAAGATCACCACTGTACAGAGGAAATATCTGTTAATATTTCATCGTTCAGTAGCAGGTCAGTTATTTTCCAGTAGCCACACTGCTTGGCTGATCATAATCAAGTTATGCAATGATTAGAGGTAAAAGTACTTTGGAGGATGAAATAAATAGGACCAGTGACACATTTAAAATCGATTCCATAGCCACTACACTTTCATGATACATAAAACGAGAGAAGAACACTGCTAATTCCTACTGAAATATATTTAGTCTGAATGACTAGTTCTAACAGTGAGCATTATTGGACTGTAGAATAGTCTCCAAAGGGAAATCCCAGCAATCAGGGTGCTGACAGCCTCTGCAGGCCTCTGGGGGGGAGGGAGGGAGGACTCCACACTCCTAGAAGGGGCAAAGCCGTGGGCAGAAGGGGCAGGGCTGGAGGCAGCCAGCTGTCCATGCCACCTGAAGTGCACAGCACGGTGCTTCAGGTAGCAATTTAGAGGGCCTAAGGTTCTGATTGTCATGGTTGCCACAGTAGATGGTGGTGGCTGGGAGACCTGGGCCCCTTTGAATTACTGTGCCCCGGGGCAACCACCCTCTTTGCCTCCCACTTCTGTCATTTCAAATTACATTGTTGCATGGGGACAGTCCTATTCAGGCAGAAGAAAAAAAATGACCTGATAAATATTTTCTGTCTCTGACTCCTATGACTTTCTGTATCACAGCCAGAAGGATATTATGTACTAGTACTACAAAACAGACAAATGTGTAATATCTGACATCGTATCTTGACGAAGAAGGTGAAAAATTGCCTTCTGTAGATGTACTCACAATAAATGAAAGCAAGCTGCTGAGTTAAAAATAAAACAGCAGTAATCTGGTGCTGGTTATTGCAAAATAATGTTATTATTGCCTCACCCATCTGAAATGTTTTACTTATGACCCTTCGGTTCCACTCCATATTAAAAACTGAGGGCTAAATTCATTCTTGGTGAAACTTCCTTGACTTCAGTGGATTTACCCCAATGATTGAATTTGGCACAACATGAGTAACACTTTCATTGTTGCATGACATTTGCAACAGTCTAAATAAAACCCCACCAGCAGCATGAAAACTTCATAAGTGGAACAAGACAAAGGAAATAATTATCTATTTTGATCTGAGTGTCTTTTCTTCCGAATTATTTTATTTATTTATTTATTTACTCATGCATTCATTCATTCATTTACAATATTTTTCCCCTGCCTCTCTATTTAAAATATTTGAGGCGTCTTACAAAATTTTTAAAACACAATACAAATATATATACACATTTAAAAATATGAGACTCCAGATTGACATAAAACCTGCTAAAAATGTCTCGAGAGGAGGAACACACACATGCAGACTCAAACACCAATAAAATCACAAGTAATAATATGTCTTTATTATGATTATACTAACCACGAATGTATTAAAAATACACATCTGCTTGTGTTAAAGGTGCACTGTTACACCTTGAAAGTAGTCTGGATGTGTGGTTTTTTTTTAAAAAAAACAACAATCCTTTTTCGAAAAAACCACTTAAACCTCCCTTTTTTTAGGAAAAACATTTTTTTTGAAAAAGGTTTTTTTTTTTCTAAAAAAACCCTCATCCAGACTACTTTAATTTTTGAAAGATCCTCTTTTGAAAATGTGATCTGAGGAAGAAATGCAAATTCCCATGGAATTTGCATATCCTCTTTCGAAAATTCTTTGTAGTTTAGACGTAGACTCAGGGAGTATTTTTCAACGGTTCACAGTCATGCTGGAAGGGCATAACAAATGGGGTTCCGCAGAGGTCTGTTTTGGGTCCGCTTCTGTTCAATATCTTCAACGATTTAGATGATGGCATAGAGAGTATACTTATTAAGTTTACAGATGATACCAAGCTGGGAGGGGTTGCAAGTGCTTTGGAGGATTGGGTCATAATTCAAAACGATCTAGACAAACTGGAGAAATGGTCTGAGGTAAATAAAATGAAGTTTAATAAGGAAAAATGCAGGGTACTGTTATTTAGGAAGGAACGATCAGTTTCACACATACAGAATGGGAAGTGACTTTCTAGGAAGGAGTACTGCAGAAAGTGATCTAGGGGTTATAGTGTACTACAAGCTAGATATGAGTCAACAGTGTGACACTGTTGCAAAAAAAGCAAACAATATTCTGGGATGTATTCACAGGAGTACTATGAGCAAGACACGAGAAGTCATTCTTCTGCTCTACTCTGCATTGATTAGACCTCAACTGGAGTATTGTGTCCAGTTCTGGCCACTACATTTCAAGAGTGATGTGAAGTACTTGGAGAATGTCCAGAGAATAGCAACAAAAATTATTAAAGGTGAAGAAAACATGAGCTATGAGGTAAGACTGAAGGAATTGGGCTTGTTTAGTTCGGAAAAGAGAAGACTAAGCGGGGACATGATAACGGTTTTCAGGTATCTAAAAGGGTGTCACAGGGAGGAGGGGGGGAAATTGTTCTCCTTGGCATCTGAAGATAGAACAAGAAGTAATGGGTTTAAACTGCAGCAAGGGAGGTTTAGGTTGCACATTAGGAAAAAGTTCCTTGCTGTAAAGGTGGTTAAACACTGGAATAAGTTGCCTAGGGAGATTGTGAAATCTCCATCACTGGAGATATTTGAGAGTAGGTTAGATAGACATGTATCAGGGATGATCTAGACGGTGCTTGGCTCTGCCATGAGGCAGGGGACTGGACTTGATGATCTCTCGAGGTCCCTTCCAGTTCTAGTGTTCTATGATTCTATGATTCTAAGACACAGTTAGAGGAGCTGTTCCAATATGAAGTGCATAGTAAGTGACTCAGAGGAGTGCAGAGGCTGGGGGAAGGAGATAACAGAGCAGGACAGTTTTCTCTTAAAGAAACAGAGCATGGCTTCTCTCAGAAACTTTCCCAGCAGCAGACAGCACCCACAGACTCTGTGTCACTGTCACATATTTGCAGTCTGTGACACACAGTCTCTGTGCCACATACACAGTCACTGTCACAAACATACTGCCACACACACTCAATCTGTGTCACAAAATCTCTCACACACAAAGTGTCTCACACTCACAAACTCTCTTTGTCTCTTTCTGTAGCCCACAGCCCCATCCCTTCTGCCCAAGGCCCTACCCCTTCCAGGGGTTCCAGAATTGGCCAGCGACCACTTATCAAATTTCATGAAGTGGCTTCCCTCCAAAAATTATTGCCCACCCTTGGATTAGATGATCACATTGTCTCTTCTGGTCTAACTAGGGTAGGACATTAGCTCTACAGTACAGGCGTGGGCATGGCAATGACATCATAAATCCTTTTGCATAGCCTCAGCTTATTGGCTAACGGACATTGGGAGGTGGTGACCTCACAAAGAGTCCATGATAATGGCCAGGTAGCACAGGCTGCAGGGCAGGGCCAGTCTCAGAGAGCTCCATGACTTTGCTGCAGGGAATCTCCATCTTGAGGTCTGCCCTGGAGGTCTGAGAAAGGATTCAGGATAACGAATGTGAGCACGAGGAGGAACCTCTTTGGAATGTTCTGCTTTCCCAGAACTAACTGAGCTAGAAGACAGACGTCCCTGTGGAGAAGGTAAGAGCCTTTGAGAGGCTGGGTGCCAGTGCAGCCTCATCCACCTGGTGCTGATCAAATGCAAGACATGGGAAACACTTAGTTACATTGGTAGAATTATTTTCCCATCAAGGCCTTTGTCCCTTGTTATCATGGAGAATATTAGAATTTGTCTTTTTCATTTCCCTTTCCCAAAGCTTCCTGCCCCTCAGAGTCTCAATGCTGATTGGATGAGCTGGGAGGCTAGTGACAGGGAAGCTGCAGGACTTTGTTGTTCTCTTTAAGGCCCAGTAAATGAACCAGAACCAATCATCTGACAGGGAAATTGTTCTGCTTCTCTGCATTGGTTGGCTCTGAGCAGTTCCTGATCCTAATGTCAGTTGGGCATTACAATCCTCTCTTACCTGCCCCATTGCGGAGGAGGTTGGGGAGTTGTGAGGATTTGTGTGTGAGCGTTACTAGCAGCAGTGTGTAACATGAGGTGTCCTCTCATGTGGAGACATGATGGTGAGGGGGCGCAGAAGAACCCCTATACCCCCTCCATAAAAAAGAGCAGCTTTGACCACTTACCAAAACCTTGGAGTGGCCACCCATCAAAAAGTTTTTTTAAATAAATTATCTGGATTTAGGGTCAATGTTAGCCTTTAACTTCCATATACAATAATGAATGTGGCAAGGATTGCTGATGCATAAACTTTTTGTGCTTGCTCATATCTAAGCCCTTCTTCCTGAAAAGTTGTGCTTTTCTGTCTGATTTTATACCATAAGTAGATTTACCTGGAGTTGCTCGGGTCCTTAATTCAAATAAGTTTTGATAAGAGGAAGCGGCATACCAAATTTGATGGTCCTAGCTCTTTCTGCTTAGGAGGAATTCTTGTACAAACGGATTCACAAATGGATGGACAGACAGACAAGGGCACATTGCTAAAATATTTAGTAAGACTAGCAGAGCTACTCGGTGTCACTCGGGTCTGTAACTGAAGGAATTTCTTTTTTTTTTAATAAATGAAAAATATGCAATTATTTCAAGTATTGTATTTTTCAAAAATGAAAGAATATTATGGCTGGAATGAGAGTTCTGGCATGAGGAGGGGCAAGGAGTAGGTGGTCTAAGGGCAAAGGGTTAGAAGGTATGGGGGGGCTCAAGGCATGGGGAGTGGGTGAAGTCAAGGCAGGTGGGAGGTGCAGGACTCAGAGCAGAGGGCTCAGTACAGGGGGCTGTGAGGTGGGGGGGTTTACTGGGGCCACTCATGATGGTGAGGGTGGTGCTGCTCTGGTGGTGACTCCTTCCAGGAGGAGTTAGGGTAAGAGGAATCTGCATATTAAATTTAGTGGTCCTAGCTCTTACGGATTAGACGGAGTTCTTGAACAAACTCACAAACAGACTCACAGACAGATGCACTCTAAAATACATACATATAGGCTACGTCTAGACTGGCATGATTTTCCGGAAATGCTTTTAACGGAAAAGTTTTCCGTTAAAAGCATTTTCGGAAAAGAGTGTCTAGATTGGCACGGACGCTTTTCTGCAAAAGCACTTTTTGCGGAAAAGTGTCCATGGCCAATCTAGACGCGCTTTTGCGCAAAAAAGCCCTGATCGCCATTTTCGCGATCAGGGTTTTTTGTGGAAAACAAATCTCAGCTGTCTACACTGGCCCTTTTGTGCAAAACTTTTGCGCAAAAGGGACTTTTGCCTGAACAGGAGCAGCATAGCATTTCTGCAGAAAGCACTGATTTCTTACAGTAGGAAGTCAGTGCTTTTGCAGAAATTCAAGTGGCCAGTGTAGACAGCTGGCAATTTTTTCCGGAAAAGCGGCTGATTTTCCGGTAAAACTGGCCAGTCTAGACACAGCCATATAGACTGGGAAGCATTTTATGTCCAATTGCAGGCACAGGAGAGAACAGTTTCATGAGCAGGTACATACAATAGAAGAAGGATTAGACACAGCTACATTTTTATTCCTCAGGGTGCCCCCAAACCACCTGACACTTGCAAGGCCACCCTTTGTTTAAGCAATAAAAAAGAGGAACTCGGTATATGAAAAGCTCTGTGATGAAGCTATAACAGGGCTCTTCACACACAACATATCTGACACAAAACCACAAAAGCAAGAAAACCAAAGATTATGACATTGAGTGGTACATATCCTGTCCTCCTCCCACAGACACACAGCAGTATACCATAGTCCATGAACTGCAACCACAAATATGTCCCTCTTGTAATGTCGGATACCTACCACCACTTTACCAGACTACCCTGTTTTAACACAACACACCAATATACCCTCTGCTCCCCCATTCACAGGTACACATTTTGCCATTACCATAACTCCATCACAGTCTGCTATAACTCTGCCCCCTTAGCCCATCTTTCTCCACACACCCATTACCAATCTACCCTTTCCCAACACTCATGGGGTATGTCTACACTACCCTCCTAGTTCGAACTAGGAGGTTAGTGTAGACATACCCCATGAGTGTTGGGAAAGGGTAGATTGGTAATGGGTGTGTGGAGAAAGATGGGCTAAGGGGGCAGAGTTATAGCAGACTGTGATGGAGTTATGGTAATGGCAAAATGTGTACCTGTGAATGGGGGAGCAGAGGGTATGTACTCTAAATAGGTTTCTCTACTGTGTTATCACATAAACCCAAACACCCTTTCCTCACCCCCTGCTCTGCCCCTTCCCAGAGGCTCCAGTCCCACTCCCTCGGTCTCCAACCCTCCTTCATTTACTCTCCCCCATCCTCACTCACTCTCCATAGGATGGGGTGAGGAGTTCGGAGTGTGGGAGGGGACTCTGGTCTAAGCCTGGGGCAGGTGGGTGGGGTGCAGGCATGGGTACTGACAGCTTCTGCGGGGCCCCTGGCAAGGTATGTGGGGGGTGGCTCTGAGCTCCTGGAAGGGGTGGGGCCTTGGGCAGAAGGGGTGTGGCCAAGGGCAGCCGGCCCTCAGCGTCATCCAGAGAGTGGTGTTGGGGCCCCACAACCCTCAGAGCCACGCAGAGCTCACAGAGCGGTGCTTCGGCAGCAATGTAAAGGTCCCAGGGCTCTGGCCATGACTGCTGCTGCAGTAGCAGTGGTGGCAGTTGGAGCCACAGTCTCCTTTGAATCAGCTGGCCCCAGGGCAATTGCCCTATTTACCCCTCCCCCTTGTCAGCGGGCCTGGGTGCAGGATGTGGGCACTGGCAGGGAGTTTAGGTGTAAGTGGGGGCTCAGGTTTGGGGTAGTCGGTTGGGGTATGGGAGGGTGCTAGGGATGCTGGAAGAGGTCTGGGTTGGCAGCTGCAAGAGGAGACTCAACTGGGGCAGGGGATTTGGGTGTGGGCGGTTGAGTGATGGCTTTGGGAGGGAGTTCAGGGCTGGCAAAGTGGGTAGAATGCAGGAGGGGTGCAAGATGCAGTCTCTGAAGGGAGATTGGGTACCAGAATGGGCTCAAGGCTGAGGCAGGGGGTCTAGAGTGTGGGAGGAGGTGTGGGGTGCTGGCTCTGGCAGGGAAATCAGGGCTGAGGAAGGAGGTTGGGGTGAGGGCTCCAGCCAAGCAGTGCTTTCGGGGTGGTGCAGGGGGCTAAGGCAGGCTCCCTGCCTGTCATGGTCTCGCGTTGCTCTCAAAAATGACTAGCACAGCCCTGTGGCTCCTGGAGAGGGGCCAGAAGGCTCTTCTCACTGTCCCTGCCTGAAGGGGCTACCCCTGCAGCTCCCATTGGCCATGATTTGGAATCAGTGCTTGGGGCGGGGGCAATGTGTGAAGACCCTCTGCTTGCCTCCCAGGCTAGGGGCCGCAGGGATGTGCTGGCCATTTCTGGGAGGGGCATGAGACTAGGGATGTAAAATCCCATTTAATTGGTTAAATGTAGCGCTGACACTGCGTTTAATGGTATAACTGATTAAAGGGTGTGGGTGGGGTGGCCTCTCCAGCAGGGCTAGAACCTGGAGGCAGGGGCTGCTTTCAGCCCTCCATGGGGGTGATGCTGCCACGGCTCCCACCTACCCTTCACCCCCACGGGGGCTGCTGCTGCAGCTCCTAGCCCCTTGTGGGGAATGAAGTTGCTGCCACAGCTGCCAGCCCCACAGTGGGGGGGGGCTGCTGTGGCTGCCCCTTCCAGCCCTGTCACAGAGGTGGCCCAATGGGGTTGCTCCTAGGTACAGGTTTATTGTTACATTTTAATCTCCCTGGATACATAGTTACAGAGTGATTGTTTCCCTTTTCAACTAGACTTGCTATTGTCAGCTAGTAATTTCTTCCCTGCTTTTAAAACTCACATCTAAACTGTTAATTTTCACTGACACTTTCTCTAGCCTTAAAGCTGTAGTTCTTGTGAACATTTTGTAATGCTTACTCAATAAGGAGACTGATTTATAAGATGCACTTATCACTGGATCTTAGCTTGGTATAAAAAAAAACAGACTGTAGTTACATTGTTGAGAAATATTTTTCATCTCAGTTACATAGTTGAACAATTCCATGGCTTGATTTGGAAGCACTTAGACAACCTTACTTATTTACTAGAGTTCTTTGAGGGGGATCAACAAACGTGGACATGGGGCATCCCGTGCATATAGTGTGCTTAGATTTCCAGAAAGCCTTTGACTAGGTCCCTCACCAAAGGCTACTAAGTAAAGTAAGTTGTCATGGGATAAGAGGGAAAGTCCTTTCATGGATTGATAACTAATTAAAAGACAGGAAACAAAGGGTAGGAATAAATGGTAAGTTTTCAGAGTGGAGAGAGGTAACTAATAGAGTCCCCAAAGGGTCTGTCCTGGGACCGCTCCTATTCAACGTATTTATAAATGATCTAGAGAAAGGGGTAAAGAGTGAGGTGGCAAAATTTGCAGATGATACCAAACTGTTCAAGATAGTTAAGACCTTCAAAAAATCTCACCGCACAGACAACCTGAGGAACTCCTTGCCAGAGGATGTGGTAAAGACTAGGACTTTAGCAGGGTTCAAAAAAGAGCTAGACTTTAGCAGGGTTCTCCATCAATGGTGATTAGCCAAGATGGGTAGGAACGGTTTCCCTAGCC